GGGAGCTCTCGGGTGAGTGGGGCACAGGGAATGAATGCCCCATGGCCTGGGAGGGCACAGGGAATGCCCCATGGCCTGGGAGGGCACAGGGAATGCCCCATGGCCTGGGGGGGCACAGGGAATGAATGCCCCATGGCCTGGGGGGGCACGGGGAATGAATGCCCCATGGCCTGGGGGGCACGGGGAATGCCCCATGGCCTGGGGGGCACAGGGAATGAATGCCCCATGGCCTGGGGGGGCACAGGGAATGAATGCCCCATGGCCTGGGGGGGCACAGGGAATGAATGCCCCATGGCCTGGGGGGGCACAGGGAATGAATGCCCCATGGCCTGGGGGGCACAGGGAATGCCCCATGGCCTGGGGGATACAGGGAATGCCCCAAGGCCTGTGCAGGGACTGCCCCATGGCCTGGGGGGCACAGGGAATGCCCCATGGCCTGTCCAGGGAATGCCCCAAGGCCTGTGCAGGGAATGCCCCATGGCCTGGGGGGGCACGGGGAATGCCCCATGGCCTGGGGGGGCACGGGGAATGCCCCATGGCCTGGGGGGGCACGGGGAATGCCCCATGGCCTGGGGGGGCACGGGGAATGCCCCATGGCCTGGGGGGGCACGGGGAATGCCCCATGGCCTGGGGGGGCACGGGGAATGCCCCATGGCCTGGGGGGGCACGGGGAATGCCCCATGGCCTGGGGGGGCACGGGGAATGCCCCATGGCCTGGGGGGCACGGGGAATGCCCCATGGCCTGGGGGGCACGGGGAATGCCCCATGGCCTGGGGCATGCAGGGAATGAATGCTCCATGGCCTGGCAGAGAGGGCTCCCAGCTGAGCTGTGCTGGCTGGGAACAGGCAGCCCCAGCACCTGGGGAGGGGCACACGGAGTTTGCAGTGTGTTCCTGGGGGAATCCAGGGTGTGAGATCTGGGTAAAGGAATTGGTGAGCCCTGAGGCTCAGCCTGCAAATCCCTGAGGGAACAGGGACAGCTGAGAGCTGTGAGGAGCTCTCTGTCAGAGTCCAGACAGGTTTGGGTTGGAAGGGACCTTAAAGCTGATAAAGTTCCACCCCTTGCCATGGGCAGGGACACCTTCCCCTAGCCCAGGCTGCCCCAGGTAAGCTCCTCAGATGTTTTCCCTGGTAAAGCATTGACAAGGCTGTGTCTGCTCCTGCAGGGACCATCAAGGAGATCCTCGGCACTGCCCAGTCCGTGGGCTGCAGCATTGATGGGAGACACCCCCACGACATCATCGATGACATCAACAGTGGTGCCATCGAGTGCCCAGCTGTGAGTACCCAGCTCTGACTGAAATTGATGTGCAACATCTAATTACTGAAAAACTCCACTAATGAGCTGTGTTTGCTTCTTCCAACAGAGCTAAGACTGCAGAAAAGGAAGTTGCCACACGAAGGCTCCTTCAGTTTTTTGTAGCACTTTAAATACTAAAATAAAGACCCAGTTGTCTGCAATCATTTCCTGGTTTGATTTGTTCCTGTCCCATGCTGGGAATTTTCCTTATCTTCTGAAATACAGCACCTTTGGTGGGATGTGTCCATGCCTGTTCTGGATGGATTGGGGCAGGGATGGAAGTGTGGCTGTTCAAAAACAGGCTGAGGACTGAGAGCAGAAGGTTTAGCTTTGCTTATTCAAAACAAAATCCATTTGTGTCCTTTGCTCCCTAATGATTTTTGGGTCACTGCCCTGGTGACTTGAGGGCCACAGAGCCTGAAGCGGGGCTGTAGTGACAGAGGGAAAGGCATGATCAGAAAACCCCATTTTTATTAAATAATGAGCTCTGGCAGACCCCATTTGTCCAGAACATGTCACTGTGTCCCTGTCTGTGGAGGGGAGCTGCACCCTCCTCACTCCTAAAGCAAAGCTGAGCGAAGCCTGACCTGGGTATTCCCAGCCATGGGAAAATCCCCGGAGCTCAGGGATGTGTCTGTCCCTGCCTGGTGTGGCTGTGCCTTGGGCAGCTCTGCCTGGGCTCCAGGCCTGGGCTGGCCCCTCTCTCCCTGTCCCCAGCTCCATGTGCAGCTGATGGAGTCAAAACCAGCAGAGTTTGTGGCTCTGAACTTTGATTTGTTTTCCCCAGCTGACTGTAGGGCCTTGCTCTGAGGCAGCCAGGAAGAAAAGAGAATTACAGCTGAAATTCCAGGGATTTGTCATGCTGAGGGCAGGCTGGAGCTCAGGGCAAGGTTCTTCCCCCAGAGGGTGCTGGCACTGCCCAGGCTCCCCAGGGAATGGGCACGGCCCCGAGGCTGCCAGAGCTCCAGGAGCCTTTGGGCAGCGCTGCCAGGGATGCCCAGGCTGGGCTTGCTGGGACAGGGGCTGGGCAGGGACAGGGGCTGGGGGACCCCTTCAGTCCCTCCCAGTTCAGGATATTCTGTGGTTCTATCTGGTTCCTTTGTTGGATTGACCACGTTACCATGTTTCAAGCAGGGAATAATTTGGATGCTCTGAACAGGTCAGGTGTGGCTCCTGGTGCTCTGTAACCAATCCAGTGTCTCCAAGGGTTTGTGTGGCACAAATTCTGGTAAGGAACGGGCAGAAAACCCTTGTGTGGAGTGGCCAGAGGCTGAGGGGGCTGCAGAGGTTGGGGGGATCCCATCCTCACCCCAGCCAGCCTGGCTGCCGTGCCAGGGGAGGGTTGGGTCCCTTCCAGCTGAGCCTTTGCAGGGGTTCCACAAAAGCCTCACAAACACCTGGGGTGCCTGAGGCAGGGCAGCCCCTTCTGCAGCAGCTCTGCCTTAAACTCTGTTGAAAATCTTTGTGCCCCTGGTGCTGGAAACCCACTCTGGAGTGAGCCCTGAGAGTCTCAGGAGCTGTTCAGCCTCCTGGTGTCAGGGCTGTCCCATGTGGGTTTCCCTCCACTTGGCAGTGCTGGAAACAGTTGGAAAAATGATTCCTTTTCCTTACAGGGAGTTCTCCTGGAACAGGACCCATAACCTTTCCTTTCCTGTGCTGCCTGAGGGCACGTGCTCTGGTAGGAGCAAAGCAGTGCTTGGAAGGAGGGTTTGCCCTGGCAATAATTAATTTTTTCCAAATCATGCTTCTTCAAGAGGAGGCAGAGGGTTCCAAAGATAACAACCTACATTAATGTCACATTTAATCCCATCTTCTTAATTTAATTTAGTATCTTTATTAATGATATAGATGAAGGGATCAAGTGCAACCTCTGCAGGCTGGCAGGTGACACCAAGCTGAGGGTGAAGTGACAAATCTGAGGGATGTGATGCCATCCAGAGGGACTTGGAAAAGCTCAAGCAAGCTCGACAACCTCATGGGAACCTCATGAGGTTTAACCAGGCCCAGTGCTGGAGCTGCACCTGAGTCTGGGCAACTCTGGGATCAATCCAGGCTGGGGATAAGCAGATGGAGCAGCCCTCGGAGAAGGATTCCACAAATCTTGAGGGTTTTCTGAAGGAATGAAGACGTAGAGGACACCCTGGGCTGAAATCTGAACTAAAAAATTGCTGTGACACCCTCAGAGGTCCTGAAGTAACCCTCCAGTGCTGGAATGGCTGGAAGTTCTGGCAGTAACTGCGCTGGTGGGGAGGCTCTTGGGGCGACCCCACAACAGCTCTGTGCTGTCTCTGTGCTGTCCCCGCTGGGCCTGGCCGCTGTCCCCGGGCAGGGCACAGCCCCTTGGGGCCGCCCAGCGAAGCGCAGCGCGGCTCTCCGGGCTGCGCCGGGAGGTTGGGAATGCCGGGCTGTCCTGGGCACGGCCGGGAGCTGCACCCCGGGATCCCGGTGGGTGTCCCCAGCTCCGGACCCTCTGATCCCTGCCCGATCCGGCCGGGACGCGGCTCCCCCCGCAGGGCCCGTCGGGGCAGCGCGGGGTGGCCGGGCCGGGCAGAGCGGGCGCTCCCACGCGGCGGGGCCGCCGCCATGTGCCACCGGCACGCCAGCCGGGGCTCCGAGGCCCTGGGGTGTCCCTGTTCCCTTCCTGGGGTCCCGGGGGTGTCCCCAGCCCTGTCCCCGTTCCCGCTGTCCCCGTTCGGCCCCGGGGGGGGGGTTGCGGTCCCTTTAAGCGCGGCCGCGCCCCCGCCGCCGCCGGCACGGAGCTTCCCGCGAACGTGACGTCACCGCCCGCGCCTCCCGCGCCCGCGCTGCCCGCGCCCGCGCGCGGGGCCCCGTCCCACGTGACCCGGGCCGCGGCGCGCCGCGCGCACATTGGCCGCGGCGGCGGCGTTCGCGGGAGTGACGCGAGAGCGGCGCGGGCTCCCATTGGTCCGCCGGGCGCGGGTGGGCGGTGGCCCGGATCGCCATTGGCCGAGGGGCGGCGGGGGGGCGGTGGCGCGGCGGCCCCGCCCCCCGGGTGTGCGCGAGGCGGCGGCGCGTGGCAGCGGCGCGGGGCGAGCGGCGGCCCCGGCCCGGCCCCGCCATGACCGACTTCAAACTGGGCATCGTCCGGCTCGGCCGCGTGGCCGGCAAGGTGAGCGCGGGGCACGGCGGGACGGGCCGGGCTGAGCCGGGGGGCGGCGGGGCCGGGGCGCGGGGTCCGGCCGGGCGGGCCGGGCCGTCCTGTGCTTTGCCGGGGCCACGCTGAGGCCGTGCCGGGGCCGCTCCGAGCCGGGGCCGCAACGTGCAGTCCCGGGCCTTGCCGAGCCGTGCCGGGGCCGCGCTGACGGCGCTCTCTCTCTCTCGCTGTGTTGCAGACCAAGTACACGCTGATCGACGAGCAGGACATCCCGCTGGTGGAGAGCTACTCCTTCGAGGTGAGCCCCGCCACTGCCCGCGCTCCTCTCCCGCTGTTTGCCCGGGTTCTGGGAGTCCCCCCCCGCCCGGGGCTGCCCCGGCCCCTCCGCCCCCCCGGGCCCCGCTGGAGCTCCGGCTCTGCCCTCTCCTCGTGCCCTGCTCCAGCCGAGCAGACCCTGGAGGAGCTGAGCCTGCAACTCCCCCGATTGGCGGAAAAAAACCACTTTGAACTTGCTGAAGTCCCAACGTGGGAGATTCCAAGCAGGAAAAGTTCTGGGTTTCCTTTTTTTTCCCAATTAGACAAACCTTGTTTTAAAACATTTATTTACTAATTTATTTTCTAGTTTTTTTCATTTTCATATTATTTGCATGCTTTTGAAGAACTGATAATTTGCCCTCCCGTGGTTTGGCAAACATTAAGAATGTTCACTCTGCACTTAGTTTTGGATGAGGAAAACTTGTATTATTGTAACTGATTATGGGACCAGAAAAAAGTGTTTCCTCTTCACATCCACTGGAAAATGGGTTCTACCAAGGCTGTGAAAGTGAAAGACAATGATTACAAAATCTTCAACAAATAAAGGTGGTTTTTTTGGAGGAGGGACCATCATCTGCTACATTTCCGCAGTGCAGTGGATGCTTGGGGGCTGCTCTTGTTGATTTTAGGAGTTTGGGCAGTGCTGCTGCCAGAACTCTCCCTGTTTGTCCATTCCTCCCCTCTGGCAGCCACTGTGAGTGTCTGTCACTGTGGTGGTAACACACCCTGACTGTCCCAAACGCATCAAGTTCTGGCTGTGCTTTGTGAGCTTTGAACAGCATTGTGGAGGGCAGGAAAATATGGAAATGCAGGAAAAATGGCAGGAAAATGCAGGAAAAATGGCAGGCCCTCGCTTTCCCAGCAAGGTGGGTGATGGGGCAGTGCTGAAGCAAAGCCCTGGGGCAGAGTGAGGATCCTGCCATGAATCCCATCCCCAGAGCTGCATTCCTGCTGTGCTTTATCCAGGCAACCCCAGCTCCCCCTGCCCTTTCCCTGGGCTCCACAGGGTCCATCCCACACCACAGCCCCCAGGGACCCCTTCTGGCAGGGATGGAGGTGCCCTTTGGCTTTCAGCACCCAGAGGTGCCAGCAGCTGGCCCAGGGAGCACAGCAGTGCTGGGGGTGTCCCCAGCTGGTGCCCCCCAGGCTGGGCTGGCTGGGTCCCCCTGGGGCTTTGGGACAGCTCAGACCCCCCCAAGCTCAAGGGACCTGCAGGGACAAGTGTGAGATGTGGGGTGCATCCCCCAGCTGTGGGGTGCATGCCAGTGGAGGGTGCTGTGTGCCCCATGGGCTGCTCTCACAGCCTTTCCCTTCCCTCTAGGCTCGCATGGAGGTGGATGCTGATGGAAATGGTGCTAAAATCTTCGCTTACGCCTTCGACAAGAACCGGGGCCGGGGCTCGGGGCGCCTCCTGCACGAGCTGCTCTGGTGGGTACAGCAGGCAGCACAAAACCAGGGGTGCCCTTGGCTGCCCCAGATTGTGAGGGGTGATCCCTCTGCCCAAGTGCCCTCAGGAGAGGGGCAAACCCAGCTCAGGGTGCCCACAGGGTTTGGGTGCGGGGTCCTTACACAGCAGAGCCCATGGAACATTCCAGGCAGGGAGAGCAGGGGAAGGTTCATGGGCACCCTGTGTGCACCTGAGGATGCTGCCCAAACTTCAGCTGGGGGATGAACAAACCTTTAAAGGTTTGTGAGGTTTTTGTCCCCTGAGAATTGGCAGAGCACTGGAGAGAGGGAACTCCTGATAACTTCAAACTTTGAGGATTTTTTTATGGCTTTCTGCAAAATTGCCTGAGGTGATGCTGCTGATGGTTCATTTCAGTTGCTGCATCTTGTTTTCCATACTCTACAAATCCTTGAAATCCTTCATAGTTTCATTAAGTTTCAGGGGCCAATTTCCTCATTTGGGAGCAGTTCATCCTCTGAGCTCATCTGTTGCTCCTTCTAGATGTTGATGGGTTTGTACAAAAGATGGGATCTGCTGAAGAAATCTTATTTATTTTAAAAGCCTTTTTGGAAAAATTAAGCATATTTTCTATTCAATTCCACATCTTTGGAAGTCACAGTGCCCAGGATGCCCTTTATTTTTCCAGGTTATCTTTTTATCCCCCTAGAACCAGGCTTTGCACAGGAGGAAGGAGACAGGAGGAATATCAGATTATTATTTCCAGTCTGCTTATTAAATATGGATTTTAACCTGCATCTGTTAATATTTAATCTTATTGCACATAGAACTTTGTTGAAATTATGAAATTGGCTGCAATATGTGGAGCAAATCACTGACAGCTGCTGCTAACTGTGAACCTCAGACAGTCATAATTATTATCTGTAAGTAGCATTAAACAGCACCTGAAAATTATTCAGGTCAGTTGTTGAAGGCTGTGTAAATGATGACATCCCGGCTATTTGTTTATGACACAGCCCAGCCATTGCCTCTCCTGGCTTGTTTTACTCAAATTAGGAAGTCATTTGAGCATATTCAGTTAGGAAATTCAAATTGTGTCACTCAAGCATGGGCTGTGGTTAAAAATAAGAGATTGTGTGTAATGGGGATTTTGGAGAGGCACAGGGGGGTGTGAGCTGCCAGGCAAGCAGAGCTGCACTTCTGAAGTTGCAGTCAGATTTCTGGAGTAGAAGATATAAAATATCTCTGCTGTTCCTGTGAATTCATCCTGGTCCTGAAGGTGTTGGTGCTGCTGATCTTCAGCTGCAGCTCAGACACTGCAGGGCAGAGGCTGAGTCTCTGCAGGGGCTGTGGAGTTTCTGCCCCCCCTAAGCAGAGCAGTTTTGGGGCTGCTCTGAGCACGAAGCAGGAGTGGGGAGCAGGGTCAGGTCCTTCCCTTGGTGAGCAGGGCAGTGCTGGAGGTTGGGAGCCTGTCAGAGTCAGGAGAGCTGGGCAGGGGCAGGCACTGATTGCACTTCCCAGTGCCAGCCTGACTCCTTGCATGAATAAAAACCAAAGATCATGGATTACTGCAGGTGTAGGTGTGTAATTCAGTTCTCTGCACATGGACCCCAGAAACACGTAAAACCAACCCAATTGTGTGCCTCTGGTTTAAGAGGCAGTGAGTAGCATGTGGTAGATGCAAGTAAAACAGATTTTTTTCTTTTCTAGTTAAGCAGGTACCTTTGTTCATGTCATGAGGCCCTTGGGATAGAAATCCTGGATCTGCTGGAGCTGCAGCAGTGACAGGAACCTTCTCCTGCTGCCCTGTGCAGAGGCAACTGTGGGATCAAAAGGCATCAGTAGCTGGAAATTCCCCTCATGAGCTGCAAAAATTCTTACAGGGAGAACTTCCTGATGGTTCTTCAGCCTCTCTGCTGCTTTCTGTGATTTCCACATGGAGGCTTGGCTCCCCCAAAGCAGGGTTTGGTGTCTCTGCAGGAGTCTTGTCCCTCCTCAGTTCCCTGTGGAGCAATCCCAGCTCTGTGTTCTGCTGGTGTGGAGATGTTCCCTGGGGAACAGCAGCAGCAGCAGAAGGGGATTAGTCATAAGTAGCACCAACTGCATGTTCAAAAAGACATCCAGGACCTGATTTCTGGGGGTTTTTAAGGGTTTTTTTTAGAGCACTTGCCATCTTGCTGCCTATAACAGGCTCAGTTCTGGTTCCTGGTGCTTGGAATTGCTGTGTCTGCATTTGTATTCCAGTCCTGGGCTCTGAGCTGCTGAAATACCCAAAGAACAGAATCCAGATGATCCCTGAGAAGTCCTGGGGGAAGGGTTTGCCTGGCATCTTGCAGGAGCTCAGGAGTGCAGGGGGAGGCAGGAGCTCCAGCCCTGCAGTTCTGGCTGCATTCCTGAGGCTGTTCCCAAGGCAGGGTCTGTCTGTCTGTCCTTGCTGCTCACTTTGGGTGAGCTGGGATGGTCACAGAGAGGCCTGGGGAGGGGAGTGCTCCTGTGTTCAAAGCTTGGACAGAAGGGATCACCCTGAATTTGGCATTACCAGGTCTGGCACCCAGTGCAGTGGTGTTTAGCACTGACTGCTCACCAGCAAGGTCCAGCTTCCAGCTTTACTTAGGCTTTTGTCACTTGAGGCCACAGAAAAGCTGGCAGTGATGTAGATAAATGGGGTTTTATACAAGGAGGTAAAGACTGGCTCAGTGTGGGAAAGAATTGGTCAGAATTTGCTTTTTGGGGTGCTGGGTGCAGATCTGGGCTGTGGAGGAGCAGGGTGCCACTCTGCTGTGACATCCCAGTGTCAGGGACAACCTCTCATAATCCTCTCTCTTTGCCCAGCTCCAGCAGTTTCTAAACTCATCTAATAAAATCAAGAATATTTCTGAACTTAGTCTTGGGATCCCCTTCCCTTTCCCCCCTGCACAGTCTGTTCTTGCTCTGAATTCTGTCTCCTCCTCCCAGATTCCTGTCTCCTATCTGTCCCATCTCTCCAGCTGGCACTTTGTCCCAGGCTCATTCTGAGAACCTTAACTCCTTCCCTGTCTCCATATCTGACTGATGCTCATCTCCAGCAGTTCTCTACTTCTTGGAGCCCTCAGGACTCCTGATTCCCTTTGCCAGACCCTCTGCTGGCCTTCAACAACTCAAAGTACATTACAGCTGTTACTGTAATGGCTTCCCAGTGCAGAGGGCAGGGAAGGATGCGATATTGGGAATTAGGAATTGTTCCCTGGGAGGATGGGGAACTCCTGGAAGTGGCCCAGGATCCCTGGAAGTGTCCAGGGCCAGGCTGGATGGGGCTTGGAGCACCCTGGGATTGTGGAAGGTGTCCCTGAGTTTTAAAGTCCCTTCCAACCCAATCAAGCCGGGATTCTGGGATTCCTCCTTTAGGGCACTTCAGCAGACTCTTTGCCATAGTTTGTTTGCTTTAATGTGTGTGGTTTGGTTTCTTTTTCCCCAAAAGAAGGATTTTATTGGTTTTACCTTCAAAGGGAAGAGCTTTTCTCTGTTCCATGGAGGCCCAGCAGACTCTCTGGCAAGGGGCTCCAGGCTCTGTTCCCATGCAGGGAATTCTCACAGGAATTACCTGGTGGGAGCAGGAGCACACTCTGTGTGAGGTGCTGCTTGCAGCCTCTCCAGGGGGATTCTCCTCATTAAATTCTACCAAGTTTTGGGGCATATGTGAAGTGCAAGAGTTTTTCTTACCCCCAAGGTACATAACTTAGACATATCTGGATGGATTTAGACCAAGAATACAAAATCCTACATTTTTCATTGTAAGGCATGTTAAAATGAGTTTCCTGCTCTGCTGGGTAATGCTGAGCTTTATAAAGGTTAAAAAGAGGTGGGAATTTTTCAACTCAGACAAATATCTCTTAAAAATTAAAATAATTATTTGAGCTGAAATGTTCAGTGAAGGCTGAGCAGGGCTCAGTGTCCAGGCTGGGCTTGGGTGGAGCTGCTGGGAGGTGTCCATGAGGAGGTGCTGGGTTACCCTCAGTGTGTGCTGTCAGCTCTGCTTGGTCCTTGTTCTCCTGGGCTGGGAGGTTCCTCATGGCAGAGCAGTCACAGGGACACAGCCCTCTGTCCAGGCCTTGCATTTCAGCTGGGATGGGGATTCCTGCAAGAAGTGATACCAAAACTTGTCCAGGCATGAGGGTGTTTGACAGTGAACTCGATGAAATGGAGAGAGGAGAGGTGAAAAGAAGGGGGAAAGGCAAATGGAAACTCTTAGAAGGCAGTAGGGAAGATTTCTCCTTGCAGCCATCCTGGCTTAGCCCTGCTTTGGGTTTTGGGCAAGTTTCAGGTGTCTCTTGGTCAATTGTGGAGTAATTTCAGACTTTCAGTGTGTGACACACAATTACAGTCTAAAAAGATTTGCATACTTGGTGAAACCTCTGTCCTGTTGCTGTTCAGAGGTGTTTCTTCATAAATAATGAGCCCTGTGACACCACACCAGTGCCAAAGTTGCACAAATGTGTCTGATAGAATTTCCTATGGGAATAATAAGGCAGTATTGGCACCTTCCAAGGAGCACTGTAATTCAATGGATCTTTAGCAGTAACTGGAGGAGTAGGCTCTGGAACTAAGCAACATGCTTAAAATGACTCTATTTTATCTTTTGATTTGACTGATTTATAATTGAAACCACCTGCTGGAGAAAGGCACTTTCTCCTGGGAGTAGCCCCTGGAGTCTGTTTGCAGCCCAGTGCCAGCAGCTCCCAGCTCACATTGCCTCTGCAATTGCTGTGATCCTTTGTTTTTTAGCTGTTCCTGTTCAGCACTGACCCTCAGGTTGGTTTTGTGTCCTGCAGGGAGAGGCACAGGGGAGGGATTGCTCCTGGCTTCCAGGTGGTGCACCTGAACTCGGTGACCGTGGACAACCGCCTGGACAATCTGCGCCTCGTGCCCTGGGGCTGGAAGCCCAAGGCTGAGGACATCTCCAGCAAACAAAGGTATGGAGCAGGGCAATGGACAGCTCTTCAGATGTTGTCTCCTTCCTTCTGTGATTTTTGCCTTGGCAGAGCCTTTTTGATAAAACTTTGGGTGCTTTACACATCCCTGTCCTGGCTTCCTCAGCTGGGGCTCAGTCTGTGCTCATGTCCTGCTGTGCAGGGACCACCCCACCCATCTCACCCTCAGGGCTGTGCCAGGTGGAGCAGGAAACCTCTGTGCCCTCCCAGCTGGGCAGAGGCTTAGGGCAGTCTGCACATCTCAGTGCCTTCTGCCCCTCAGAAATCCCAGTGGGAACTGGGAGCTGGAGGATGGGTGCTCCCGGTGGGAGCTGGAGGATGGGTGCTCCCGCTGGGAGCTGCAGGATGGGTGCTCCCGCTGGGAGCTGGAGGATGGGTGCTCCTGCTGGGAGCTGCAGGATGGGTGCTCCCGCTGGGAGCTGCAGGATGGGTGCTCCCGGTGGGAGCTGCAGGATGGGTGCTCCTGCTGGGAGCTGCAGGATGGGTGCTCCCGGTGGGAGCTGCAGGATGGGTGCTCCCGGTGGGAGCTGCAGGATGGGTGCTCCCGGTGGGAGCTGCAGGATGGGTGCTCCCGCTGGGAGCTGCAGGATGGGTGCTCCTGCTGGGAGCTGCAGGATGGGAGCTGCAGGATGGGTGCTCCCGGTGGGAGCTGCAGGATGGAGGCTCCCGGTGGGAACTGCAAGATGGGTGCTCCCGGTGGGAGCTGCAGGATGGGTGCTCCTGCTGGGAGCTGCAGGATGGGTGCTCCCGGTGGGAGCTGCAGGATGGGTGCTCCCGGTGGGAGCTGCAGGATGGGTGCTCCTGCTGGGAGCTGCAGGATGGGTGCTCCTGCTGGGAGCTGCAGGATGGGAGCTGCAGGATGGGTGCTCCCGATGGGAGCTGCAGGATGGAGGCTCCCGGTGGGAGCTGCAGGATGGAGGCTCCCGGTGGGAGCTGCAGGATGGGTGCTCCCGGTGGGAGCTGCAGGATGGGTGCTCCCGCTGGGAGCTGCAGGATGGGTGCTCCCGCTGGGAGCTGCAGGATGGGTGCTCCCAGTGGGAGCTGCAGGATGGAGGCTCCTGCTGGGAGCTGTGAGCTGGGGTTGGACTCCCTCAGGGTGGGTTCTGGGCTCAGCTTCCAGCACCTCTCAGCAGCAGCTTGGGGGAGCTCCCCATGGGCTGGGTTTCACTCAATCCACTCAGCACATCACACTCTGTGCTAGGATGGATCTGGATAATCAATGAACATCCAGACCCACAGACTTCACTTCACTCTTCTCCTGAAAGACCTGCAGCAGCAGCAGCTTTAACATTGGTGTGTTTAGAGCTGATTAAACTGATTTTGAGAAGCTATAGTGAATTACAAATACTCTACATGATTTTGGGGGTTCAAGAACAAGAAGCAGACTTCATACTAGAAATTGATTTTGATTTAGTGTGAATAATTTTGCACAGGATTAACTTTTCTCTATGTGAATGTTTCTTGATTGATACCTTTAAACTTTTGGGGTTTGCATTTAGGCTAAAAAAAACTTAAAACCACCCAATATATGAACAGTATGTGCAATCTGAGGCTAAATACAATGTTAACCTTATTTATTAATAAATTTGGAATCAATATCTTTGTATGATTGTTATGAATTGATGTACTAAACTTTTACTTGTTTTTGTTTTTTTTTTTTCCAGGGAACAAAGTCTGTACTGGCTGGCAATCCAACAACTTCCTACAGACCCCATAGAAGAGCAGTTTCCTGTCCTGAATGTAACCAGATATTACAATGCTAATGGGGATGTTGTGGAGGAGGAGGAGAACTCCTGCACTTACTATGAATGTCACTACCCTCCCTGCACAATGATTGAAAAACAGGTGGGTTCAGAGAGCTGGGAGTGAGCATGGAATCCTTGGGCTAGTGGTGTGTCTAGGGATTTATTTGTTATTTAAAATGTAGAGCTTTACATGAGCCACTCAGTAGCTAAAAGCAACGATTTTCTTCCACGCAGGTTTTCTTTGGCCTGAACCTCCTGAGCCTGTGATAGTTTTCAGTTTTCTTACAGGAGGGAATGTGGGTTTGAGCTGGAGCAGTGGATGGTAGGGGGCTGCTGGGAGGAGGGTGATTTCTGCAGAGTGCACAAAAAGCCAGGTGGGAGCTTTCCTGCAGGGAGCAGAGCTGGGATGAGTGAGCAGCTGTGTGAGGCAGCAGGAAGCATTCTAGGAGGGTTTGCATGGTCATGGAATCAAAAAATAACCTGGTTACCATTTCCTGAGGTGAAGGTGAATTGCAGTGGCCTTCATTCAGGGGAGAGCTGGGAGGAAAAGTTCTGCTGGAGGAAGATAAAGCAACATCAGGAGTGAGAGAATGAGCTGTGCAAGGGCTGTGCCTCTGTCACACAGATGCCTTATCTATAAACAAGGGCTTTTCTTGTGATAGCAGATGCTGAGTAGGCTAAACCTATTGTGTTCCACTTTCTGCTGTGGGGAAGGGAACATTTGCAAAAATGATCTTAAATTCCCTATATTTGAAACAGAGGCAGCTCTGCCTTTTATTTGGGTCTGTGCCCAAAAGCTCCCTGGATAACAGTAATTTGGCAATGGCTGAGGTTGTGCAGCCCTCCTGATAATTTCTGAATTTCAGGTGTTTGTTTGTAGTTGAAAACAGAACTTGAGTTGACAAAACAGGAGCATTGTGACAACAAATGTGTAATGCTCCAATATTTTGTCTATAAATTGAACTCATTTTAGAAGAGCAAAGAGGATTGCTCCAAACCCTTCTGGTTCTCTGAAACTCATGGTGGGGTGTTTGTGTTTCATAGAATCCCAGAATCCCAGACTGGCTTGGGTTGGGACTTTACAATTCATCTCATTCCATGGGCAGGGACACCTCCCACTGTCCCAGGCTGCTCCAAATCCTGTCCAGCCTGGCCTTGGGCACTGCCAGGGATCCAGGAGCAGCCCCAGCTGCCCCAAGGCCTCCCAGGAAGGATTTCCTCCCAATATCCCTCTCACCCTGCCCTTTTCCAGCGTAGACTGTTCAGCCTTGTCCTGTCACCTGTTTGTGGCAGGCATGGAGAGAGGCCCAGGGGAGGGATTGCTCCTGGCTCTCAGGGGTGCGCCTGAACTCGGTGACCGTGGACACCCGCCTGATGGTGCAGCTCCTTGGGAATGCTGCTGGTTCCTCTTGGCAAAGCTGCTGGGGTGTCCCCTGGGGGGATGCTGAGGCTCTCCTGGCACTGAGCAGCCCCTCTAACAGCCCCTTTTGTTCCCAGCTCCGCGAGTTCAACATCTGTGGGCGCTGCCAGGTGGCGCGGTACTGCGGCTCGCAGTGCCAGCAGAAGGACTGGCCGGCCCACAAGAAGCACTGTCGGGAGAAGAAAAGAACCTTCCAGCAGGAGCTCGGCCCTGAGCGGTGACCGGGCGGCAGAGGCCTCTCAGCAGCAGGATTCCTTCCCAAAGGCATTGGACTCTTGCTTTTGCACAGTATGACAGACTGCTTATCAAAGACAGAGGCACTGAAGAAAAACCCTGTGATGCTTGAGCAGAATGGCTGACTGGACTAAGCCAGCTCTGACTGGTGCTGTGGAAAGGGATCGGGTCTGCCCTTCCAGTATTATATTCTCAAGCAAAAAGACTACTGTGGAGCTCCAGGCAGGAAGCTTCTCATTATTTATATGTTAATACGTTTGTAAACTCATGTACAGTTTTTGTTAGGAATTCTTGATAGCATTCATTAACTGTAATGTTCAGATGAGAACATGTTGTTGGCCTAAAAGTTAAAAAAAAAGAAAAAAAAAAAAAGAAAAAAAGTCATGTAGCAAAAGCTTTTCCTCCCATGTGGCAGAAGTGTCTGTGGCAGTGCCAAGGCCAGCGGGGCAGGCTCTGGCATCAGCACTTACTCTGGAGAACTCTGCATGGAAGCTCTATTTCAAAAAAATACAAACATAAAAAAGAGCAAACAAAGTAAAGGTTGGAATGAATCCATGTCTGCTCTCTGGCTTTTTCCCCTTCCCTTCCAGCTGCCTTCAGAGCTCAGTCACCCTGGCTGCTGGCAGTCCCTGCAGGCAGGAGCAGTGCCCCAGGAACTGGCGTGGGGCAAAGGGACCCTCTGGGATCTGAGTCCAGGACTGCAGCTGGGGCTGCTGGAGATGGGCCTTGGAGCAGCCAGGATTCCCAGGGAGCTGGACCAGCTCTCTGTTCCAAAGCCTTGCACAGAAGGCAGTGCTAGGGGAGCTCAGGGAGCAGCTGTGTGTGGATGTGGTCGCCCTCGTGGCTTCCCCGTAGCATAGGAAACACTCCAGTCATGTGCAGAGATGTTTAAATATCTAATACTGGGTGATTTGAATTATTTATTCACTTCTTTAAGAGTTGTCATCAATCCAAGAATCACTTTTTGATTTTTTTTAATGTAGTAATGAGTAAAAGTAGTATGGGAGGAGGATTTCCCTTGCAGAGCACATGCCTATTTTTCTTTTCATGAATAATTATTTTCTATTCCATTTTTGCCTTAGAAGTGTAAGGAACATCACTTGAGTTTCCTGAAGAGCTAAATGGATAATTTAGTGCCAGGTGTTAGTCTTGCTTCACAGTAGAAGAATGTGAGCTGCTGAGTGCTTAATGCAGAGCCTTTCTTGGAGTGCTTAGTGAAAATTTTTTTGTAAAAGCCGTTTAGAATTTTGATTTTTCAATCAGGATTCACTTTGCCACTTCATGTTGCAATGTTGGTCTTGCTTGTATTCAATTTGTTAGAAAATTGATCTGCTGTGGACTTCCAATATTATATTCTGTTTCTAATATCTGCACAGGAAGTTCTGAATTATTAACATTTGGGTGGGTTTTCATCCTTTGGCTTTAAGCATCTTGGGAAATAGCAAAAAACTTCTGAAACTTCCTGCTGGAAGTTCACTTGAAGGCACTTGGTCAAGTTGCCACTCTTAAACCACATTTGTACTGCAACTTTTCTGTTCAGGCAGCCCAAAATGCCCTTTAGTATGAAAAAACCAAGCAGGACCCAGTCAAATTTTCCTGTCATGAGTAATCTTTTTTTTAAAGGAAACATTAATTCTTTCCTTGAAGTGAAATGCAGTTTTTGATTATTATAAAATGGGACATAAGGACTATTTTGTTTATTGAGGTAATCCACTGAATAGGGCAGAAGTATTGACTTCTTTTCTCTTGCCTGTTTAAAAGGCTGCTATTTGTCCTGCCAGTTTTCCATTTTAATACCAGGAATCATGTTTATCAAAACAAAGTGCAGTCTTAGAGCCCTTTAACACTTGAGCAGCACCAAGCAGGGAAAAGTTGGTGCAGATGTTTCAATGCTGCTGCTGTGAGCACAAGGACAGGCTGCAGCCCGAGGCTGGTGGGGCAGTGGGGAAATTCCTCTGAGGGAATCAGGGATGGGTGGGACTCAGGATGGAGGTGCTTGGGGGAATCCTGATCCCAGGGAATGTGGGAGGTGCGGTACAGCAGGTGGGGAGATGGCCACAGGGTTAAAGGGCTGTGGGACCAACCCAAGTGGAAAGAAACTGCCCAGATCTCCTGAAGAGGCTCAGGGAGACAACAGGGAGATAACAACACCTGGGTGTGTGATCTGTGACCTCACACTGTCCCTGTGCCAGAGGAGAGAAGTGGCTACAGGGATTTTGACTCTTGGAACGTCTTGGGGACTGCAGTGAACACATCCCTGCCTGCTGGGGGGGAGGTTGTGGGATCAGGGATTCGGGCAGATCTTGGCACATCTTCCCTCTCAGTGAGGAGGGTCAGAAAGGAACTTGAAGGTGGCAGCTCCCCAAGGCACCCCAGAGGATGGAGCTCTTGTAAAGGCCCTCCTTACCGACAGAGAAGCCCAACTGGCAGGGATATCTCTATATTTAAAACCCCAGGATTGGAGTCATTTATGTGGGAGCACACCTGGACAGTTCTGATCAAGAACTGATTTTCCAAGGGCTTCTCCAAGGGATGGAGATGTTCTTCATCCAAGTTGTTTCCTGCAGGTAAATCTGGTAAATCCAGCTCAGGGCAGGAGGCTGCAGCGTTCCTGGTGCTGGCTGTAACAGGGCTGCACACCCCCTGTAAACTCTGTGAAATGTTGGTACAGGCACCTTCCAGTGCTCCTTCCTATCCAAGTAGGATGATATCACCAATTCCAACATGCAGAAAACACAACTGGAAATCCTGGCTGGCTTAAGGAATACCAAATCTGAAATATAGTGGATTGCAGGGCTTGGGGTTCTGATACTTGCACCTTGAAAACACCATCAGATTATAGTCTTAGTTTTCCTTTGTGACTCAATTTTAAATTAAATTCGTGGTAAAAGGAGCAGCTGAAAGACAGAAATGCTTATGGGAGGCATGGAGGTGGTGTAAGACACACATGAGCCAGGAGCAAAGCTTCACCACCCAGCAAAACAGCACTGAGAGCAAAAGGAAGCTGGTGTGATTAAACAGGAGCATGTGGGATACTCAGAGTAAGAAGAAATCCTTGGTAAATTGAACTTGTGTCCAAATGTAAGAGATGGAAAGAATAACATTTGGCAGGTGAAATGTAGAACAAGCAAAGAAACAAACCAACCCAGCCAAATAATGCAAAGAAAAATTAATATGAGGACTGTTCAAGTCATAAAACTTGAATGAGTAGTTTTGAAAAAATCAGGAGCAGGGGGAACTGCTGGAGTCAGCAGAGACTGGTGCACAGCAAAGGGAAGGGCTGACCTGAAGATGAAAGCCTCAGCAGAAGAAAATCCAGTGACTTGTTTGCATATGTGTTCCCTGTGAAAGAGCTGGTGGAGTTCACATGGGAATACTCCATATGGAGAGCTCCACAGGGAATCTGCTCAGAGCAGAAGTGCTTGCAGGAGAGATGAAAGTTCAGCTGAAATGAGCAGCAACAAGTCGCCAGGACCAGACGGTGCCACCTACGGCTCCGAGGGAGCTCAGGGATGAACAAGCTGAGCTCCCAGCTGGGATGGCGACCTCTCCCTCGGTACAATGTCACAGCAAATGGCACAGCAGCTTCTGGAAGGAATTTCAAACTACAGCCACCTGCACTTCGTGAATTCATGGATGCTGTGGTGCAGCACCAATGGCTGAGTACTGAGGAGGAGTCAGTGTGGGTTCTGTACGGGGAAATCAGCTTCAAAACTTTACTGGAATTGCTTCAATTCCAGGCATCAAACAAGCAGGGAAAAGGGGATTTGGTTGGGACAGTTTGAACTGCATTCAATGATGACTTTGCTCAAGGCACTTAAGGAAGAAAAGTTGCTGGTGAAAAAGGGAAATGTCACAAAGACAACTGTTTAAAAGACAGGAAAGGAGTAGAAGGGAGGGTTTTTATGGTGGTGGGAGGTAAACAGCTGGATGTCCAATAGATTAAAAAAAACATTAGAAAAAAGGTAATGTATAATGAAACTGACAAAATCCGCTGATTATATTATTCAGTGTAATGATAATATAATAAAGGCTGAGTGAATTGCAGAAGGATATTACGAGAGAGTGGGAGATGAAATTCAGTGTCAATAAATGTAGGGTTGGTTATGGGAAAACAGCAAACGGCCCAGCCTTGGCTGATTTCACTCAGCAAGGAGACCTTTGGGTCTGCAGGGTTTCTGCCAGGGAGCAGCGGCAGCGCAGGCTCCAGGGCAGCGCAGGGAGCGGCACTGCAGCGGGAATGGCTGCGGGGCGCATCCCGAGGGGCAGAACCCGCCCTGAGCCGGGGAAAGGACTGAGGGGAGAGGGAAAGGACTGAGGGGAGAGGGAAAGGACTGAGGGGAGAGGGAAAGGACTGAGGGGAGAGGGAAAGGCGGAGAGGGCAGCGCCCAAGAGCGCTCCGAGCCCCGGAACGGCTTCTGCGCAGGGACAGCGGCACCAGCCCGGGTGTGCTCGGGCCGGGCCGGGCTGGGGAAGGGCTCTAAGGGAGGCGCTGGGGGATGGCGAGGAAAGGCTGAGTCCGGATTTCCCTCGTGAGCGGCTGCCGGGTTCAGGGCACGGGTCCCTCCCGGCGGGGCGCTGGAGCCGCAGCCAAGGACACATCGGGCGGGAGCTGGAACAGGCGAAGGGAGCACCCAAACCCCGGCGAGAGTCCCGCGTGTGCGGCCAGCCCGGCCGGGGGAAGAGGCGGCTCCGCGGGGGCAGCTCCGCCCCGGGCCCGCCCTGACCGGGAAGCAGACGGGGCCGGCCCCGCCTCCCCGGAGCCTCCCGGGAGCCGCCCCGGCGGCGCAGCAGGGCCCGGCCCGCCATGGCCGCGCCGTGCAGGACGCGCACGCTGCAGGTGGTGGACACGGAGTTCAGCGCGGACGCGGTGGAGTGGTGCCCGGTGGAGGGCTGGCACAGCATCCTGGCCTGCGGCACCTACCACCTGCGCCCGCCCGAGCAGGTGAGCCCGGCCCCGGCCGGCCCCGGCCGGCCCCGCTCCGGGGCGAGTCCTTATCCCCATCCCCGTCTGTGCCCGGTACCGCTCCGGGGCGAGTCCTTATCCCCATCCCCGTCTGTGCCCGGTACCGCTCCGGGGCGAGTCCTTATCCCCATCCCCGTCTGTGCCCGGTACCGCTCCGGGGCGAGCCCCGGCCCCATCCCCGTCTGTGCCCGGCCCCGCTGCGGGACGAGTCCTTATCCCCATCCCTGTCTGTGCTCGGTACCGCTCCGGGGCGAGTCCTTATCCCCATCCCCGTCTGTGCCCGGTACCGCTCCGGGGTGAGCCCCGGCCCCATCGCTGGCCGCCACCGCAGCAGAGCGAGCCCCGTCCCCGCCTGGCCCCGCTCCGGGCGAGCCGCATCCCCATCCCCGGTGCTGCCGTGCCTTGTCCCGGCTGGGGCGGCTCGAGGGGGGCAGAGGGGCCCCTCCAGTGAGCGTGGCTGTCTCCCTTCATCCCTTCTCTCCTTTCATCCCTCAAGGCTGTGACTGAGCAAGTGGCAGCCTCAGCCCAGCTCCTCGCTCCTAGCAGGATCTCCAGGAGGCAGAAGCGCGGCTGAGCTTGCCCCGTTCTTTCCCGTGTTTGCCACAGAGCGATTCCCGGGGGAGCAGTGCGGCCTGTGACCGGACGGGGCGGCTCTACCTGTACCACTACAACGAGGAGCAGCCCTACATCCCGCTGACCGAGATCCAGCGCATCGACACGGCCGCCATCCTGGACATCAAATGGTAACTCCGGCCCGCCAGGCTCGGTGCCACCGCAGCACGCTCTGCTCCTCCCGGCATCCTTTTTTGGCATGGCAGCAACAGCAATAGTTACTAATGGAACAGTTCCTGACTTCTTGGAGGGAAATACTTTCCAGTTTGTTCCAGTGAGCAAAGACTGCCTTGTTTCTGTTTTATACTTTCTGCTCACTGGACTGATGACTTTGTACCTCATTTATTTATATAATAACATATAGTAGATCTCCCTTGTACAGAATCCCCTCCTTGCAGGTGTGTGGGAACTTGAGGAGCCTTAGATTTTCTTAATTGTGAGATTTTTTTAGTTACATACCTTCTTCTTGTGCATGTTGGAATGAAAGTTATGGCTTTGCTCTCTTCCTAAAATACAAGAAAGATAGACATTGGAGTCCTGTTTAACTTGATCTTTTAGGTGCCACATTCCTGTTGCAGAACATCCCATGGTTGGCATCGCAAACTCCACAGGTGCTGTGGAATTTTGCCACCTGACTGGAAGTGAGGTGGGTGGATGCAATGCCTGCTGCTGCTGAAGCTGGTTTTAAGCCATGTTTGCTACATCTCTGCATTTACTGGTAGTGTGTATAGGCTTGCAGGAAAGCTGGTTTCCATGGCTTCCTCAGCATGCTTAGCTTTTTAAATACTTCTTTTG